TTTCCCTATAACTGAGATTGTGCTGTAGAAGTTAAGATTTAACGCCAAGGAGCCTTAATTATAGTGAGAAGTTAATCCTTGTGGGTTTTAGTGTTCTTCCTTTTTTTTTCTCTTACTTATTGGAAGCAATTTGAGATAAGGAAAATTTGTAGTTTGATGAATTAAGTTGTTTGTGTTGCCATTTGCGTTGTGTAGCTCATTGGTGGCACTTGAATTTTGGGATTTTAGTTGTTAAGTTGCATTAAAGGTGCAATTTTGGGTTTGAAGAACCAAGACCCAAATATTGTAAAATCTTAGTTGGATTGTTGTTACATGTGTTACTTAAGGTGATTTTTGAGTTGTTGATGTTGTCAACAATCATATTTATGAGTTTCATGTTGATTTTGTAGCTTGTGGTGGCTAGATGGGTTGGGAGGATGCTTACACCTAGGAGGTGCACAACATTCTTGTTTAATGATAAGGATTGCTCGCTAAGCAAACCTTCAAAATTGAAGGTTAAAAACCTAGGAACACCATTCTCACTCAACGACGTGTTGGTCAACCAATGAGAATGCATGTTGTAATGAACACTTTGAAGTTATGTTGGTCACACTGTTGTCATCGGGCGAGCTTGAGTAGTTGTGGGTGGTGCAGTTTGAGTGCTCATTTAACAAGGGAATCCATAGAGAGTCTCGCTCATCCAACAAGAGGAGATCCTATAGGATTTCTTTTGTTGAACTCGCTCAACGAGAAATACTAATGATGGTTTGGATGCTTAGTGAGACATATCTCACCCAACGATAACCTTTTTTGCATAAAAGTCTAAGTAAGAGAATTTTATGATGTACTACCATGAAGTTCTTATATATTTTAGTTATTTAAACATGTTTTGGTGGTTATTGATGATGAACTTGAGATTATTTAAGATGAATTGTGTTGATTTATCATATGTTGCTTAAGTTGAAATGTTATAGAGTTGTGGGTTATTTTTTACCTGAGTTGAAATGGTGTATAGTTGATATGCATGTTTATAGAGTTGTCATGTTAATGATGGTGATGCATTTGCATTGTTTTTATTGAATTGAAAAATTAATGAAAAATTAGATGTAAGTAAGTTGTTTTTAAGTTGAAAGATTCTATTGTGTGAATATAAGTTGTGGTGCTCCGAAAGACCAATATTAAAAACTCTAATGAAAAAGTTGGGTCCTGTGGAGAGAGTATTTTGAAAAGTTGTATCCTCTAGAATTTTTGAGTTGAAAATGATATAAGGGTCAAGTCGAATCATACTTGACATTAGTGACTAGTGAGTAAGACATAGAGTCAGGGGTCAAAATCTCTAATCAAATGTTAGAAGGGTGCAAAATATTTAGAGGGTGGACAATGAGTTAATCCTGTTTATGGCTTGATTAATGCTTGTCAATGATTTGAAAGGCTCATACCCAAGATGTTCAATTCATGACTTTAATACCGGCTTAATTTAAGTAATGAAATTTGAGAAACCATCTTGAGTTGCTTACAATTATCATGTCAAACTTATGTTGTTATGACCTAGAGATGAAAGGTCTACTATGTTGTAGGTTCAAGCCACTAAGTTTGTTCATTATGTTGTAGGAGACCTCAAAGTTGATAAATGGGTAATGATGTATATAATTGTTGAGTTGTACGTTTATGTTGTTTTTTAATTGCTAAGTTGTGCACATACGATAAAATGTATGCTTGTGTTGAACCTAAAGCTACTTGTTGATTTGTGTCCAAGCTTATGATGACAAGTTAAAAGTTATTTACGTTATTAATGCTAAACTATAAAAGTAGAATTGTGCTATGTTGATAAAGTTGAAATTGTTATAGTTAACTTTTAATGTTTTTTTTGTTATATGTGGTTTCTTTCACAAGTTTATCTTTTTATTTTCACGTGTTAGACTATGATTATCATAGTTTGATATGTGAGTAAGTTAGGATCATGCTAAATGGTGAGCTTGGAGTTGAATAACCATGTTGAAAATAACATTTTGTTGGAGTTGTTATGGTACAACAATGTATAGAGTGCTTGATCAACACTTATGATTTTATGTTTTTAGTACAAATATTTGTAGATGTTTATATATGTATAAGGATTACTATATTTTCATAAGGGGCTTCATGTTTTTTAAGTTGAGATAGATAGAAGTTATTTTAATGCCTTCTATACCACATAGATATATAAGTTAAATATCTAAGTATTGTTTGCATGTTTTTTTTTTTTTTTGTTTCTATTGCACGATGACTATTATTTTGTATCAAGTGTAGTAATTTGTCAAGTCATTACAACTATAACAAATATAAGGAAAAATGATATGTATAAGAAGTAAAATATATTTTTTTAATCATAGAGTTAAAAGATAAAATCATTTAATGAAATTATATTATTATTATTATTATTATTTTTTGCATTATTAACATGTACTATTTATTTTAAAAAGTAGACTTTGTTTTGGGCCGACCCAAAACATAACGGAACTCATCCAAAAAAAAAAAATAGTACATCTCGCGAGATTGGTTGTTGCTCAATGGTGACTGGTAACAACCGGGTGAGGTTATAAAAGATTAAAAGTGAGGGTTAATCCCAATGTTCGAATGGCCACGTGTAGGTGTGGCAGTGGAAGAATCATAATCCCGCAAACTGGCACACAGACATGGGAGCAGAAAAGCAAACGCAAAATCAAAGGGAAATACGTGCGAGAAACGAAAACCGATTCCCCTTCCATTCCCATCATCACCCTTGCGTTTGTAGTTGGAGAAAAACAAAATGCCCCGAAACGGCGACGTAGAGGAGGAGAACGTGGCAACGACGTCGTCGCTCACTATTAGAAACAGAGCAGACCCTTTATTGGTAACGTGCAGGTGCTTCAGCGTCCTCACCTCTTTGGCTGCCATTCTCTGCATCGCCGTCAACGTCCTCTCCGCCGTCCGTTCCTTCAAGCACGCATCTGACGTAACCTCTCTCTCTCTCTCTCTCTCAATCTTCGTTTCTTATTTTCCGTTACCGTCTGACACCACTCGCTTTCAGATTTTCGACGGCATATTCCGCTGTTACGCGGTTATCATAGCGGCTTTCGTCGTCCTCGCCGAGACCGAATGGTCTTTCATACTCAAGTTCTCCAAGGTTCCGTTCCGTTTCCCTTAGTTACAATCAACACTCTCACGCTGTTACTCATGCTCCTAATCGAATGATTCTTTGCAGGCTTTGGAGTATTGGGCCGTCAGGGGGATGCTGCAGATCTTGTACGCGTTCCTTTCCATTTACTCACAATTATCTTATTTACTTCCACTACTTTCTGATTTTAACTTGCATATTAAATTATGTTCACAGTGCGTTCCTAGCATTTTTTTAATTCATGATGTTCCTTCAGGAATAGTAAACACATTTTTAAATTCTCGGCATACTAAATGTTTTATCATGAATTACTTGCACAGTTTTTATGTTTTAGTTCCAATACTCAGAATCTACTCATTTTAGTTCTTACCTATACACTTTTTTAATTTGTTTTTAGTCAAAATTGTAGGGACTGCAATCATTAAGACTAAATGAGTAATTAGACTTGGATTCTTTCCGGATACTGCCTGGCCACTCGCATTGTTAAAATAATGCTTCACAGTTTGGATGTTCAGTTGTAAAGTTCAAACAACAATCCAAATGTCTGTAGTATGTTGTAAATTGAGATTGTGAACTGCTTAGAATAACACGAAATGTTGTGAAAGTAAATAGTATTTCCTTTGATCCTTATTATAGGACATATTTATTGATCTTAAAAAGATTTTTTTATTTTTATTTTTATTTTTAAATTTTGATGAATTAGTTATTTGAGTCTTATATTATGGACTAGGTAGTAGTATTTAGTGTGGCTTTTGTTTTCTTAATGGCGCATAAACTTTAGTGGTTTGGTTTCTGAATAGTGGTTTTGTTTGTGCAGTGTTGCAGTCATGACAAGGGCTTTTCCTGACTATATTGGGGAACGAAGGGACCTTTTTCTTCTTCAGAGCATAGCCAGTTATTTTCTACTTGCCTGTGGCTTTATTTATGTTGTCTCGGTAAGATCATGGAAGAGAACAAACTATTTACTATTTAGTCAAATAATATCTATGTTACTTCAATTGAAATGTTATGCGTGTCAAACTTGTTTCATCGTCAGTTAATAAAACATGTTTATAGGTGTAGTGTAGGTAAGATGATAGAACACTAGTTTTGAAATTGAAAGGGGAATTTTATCGAATTCAAATAACACGTTGCACAAGACAGTTCCAGAGCCTAGGGCTTCTACAGAGAATATCTCTCTGTTCAAAGGCTAGCATTCATCACACCTATTTTTATTGAATTCAAATAACACGCTGCACTAGACAGTTCCAGAGCCTAGGGCTTCTACAGAGAATATCTCTCTGTTCAAAGGCTAACATTCATCACACCTATTCCCTCCTTTTCTGAATTACCAAATATAATTAAATAAAACAAAGCTAACTCTCCCCTCTCACAGATCTGAATGGCAGTTCTTTTTCCCCTACAACTAACTGTACACAACCCATTAACTGCCGGTACAGTCCTTCATGGCAGTTCGTGAAGTCTTTTTTCTCTTTTTGGAGTAAATCTTCTAGCTGGTTGGTGGTTTACTTGGACTTGGATTTCAGCGACTGATCCTCCTCCAACCCAACCCAATCATGATTCCTACCATAATACAAGACGATTTGATGTTTTCATTCTTTATGCTTGTTTATTTGCTTTATATTTTTGTATACTTTTTCTGTCGACTTGGCAATATATTGGGTAGTTAATACAGTAATATTAGAGTGAGTTCACATGACTTTAACGATTTCAGTTCCCACAATCCATGTTTAATATGCATTTTGTTGTACATAGTTAAAGTTATTGTCTAATCGATCATTCTCACTCCTTACTCTCTTTTTCAATGATATTCGTCGACGAATAATAGTTCTTTTCTACTTGGAAATGGGAATTGAAAGACTAAGCTGGAATTCTTTTTGCTTTCCTTGTATTAATTTCTTCTCTCTTAATGAAGGGTGTCCTGTGTATTGGTTTTCTTAAACGTGCTCGCCAGAAGCAGGAGATTACAAGAGAGCAAGCAGCCAAGGATCTGGAGGTATGCTGCTATGTTTAGATTTTATTATTTAACCTGGTTCACATCAATTATTTGTGGTTCCTTAGTTGCAATGACATAATGAAGTTCTAGTTTCGATATGATGCTCGATAACATGCTTTGCATGATTGGGAAAAGCATAAACCCACATACTGATGTGAAAAGTAAAATGCCTACTCCAAACTTCAAATAAATTGTGCATGGGAGGTTTGCATCTTTGCATGGTTGATTGTTTTAGTCATATTGCAATAGTGCCTTTCCTTTCCATGTCCATCATCATTGGTGGAGATTGGGTACAAGATCAATTGCACGGGCTTGTCAATCTTAGCTGAGAGGATTGAGACTCTTTTTTCTCTTAATAACTTTTTATCTCCATCCGACCTAGTCAGATTTTTTTTTTAATCAACAAAACTTGCTGTATTTAGTATTTACTTGCTTTTATGGATACTTCCAGGAGTTGGAACGGCGCAGAGAGGAACTTGAACAACTGCTCCTTGCGGAAAGAGTTTAAAAGTTTGAGAGTAGTGCTGAAATTAATCCGTAGTGAAGATAAGTCTCCAGAAAACTTAATGAATCTCTGTTTATGTTAGTATTGCTTACAGAATTGCTCGTTCATTCTTTGTAAGTATCGAGTTATATTGTTAGATGTAGGCCATTATTGGCCTATTCTTTGTAAATATACGAAGCAACGTTTATTGTGTCTCAGTTTTTATAGAGGCTTCAATCCAACTTCTGTTGACGATAATAAAATCTTCACTTCAGTTTCTGTTGTTAAGGTTGCTGCATTTTGACGCTGTTATTAGTTGAAGATATTTTTAACATTTATTATTTTCTTTCACCATTCCTACAACTAATGATCGCTTTCGGAATCGGGGATTAGAATTTAGCGTTGAACGATGTCATTATCATCCAGGGTTTTTTGCTTTTTTTGTGTCATGGAACATCCATTCACTGAATAAGTGCGAAAGTTATCTCGCAATGTGTAGTCTCAAGTGTTAAAGTGAAGTTTTTGTTCAACACTTATTTCAAGAAAAAACGAGCATATTTTTGGATTTTTTTCCTTTTTGTTTTTTAAGAAGCTTAACTTAATCCTTGGCTATTGTTCAAGAGAGGAGAAAGTGAAATGCGTCAGTGAGAGAAAGTAAAAGTGGAGTTCTACCTTGGGGGAAATTATGTGAAAATTTCAACCTGGAAATGCCATATAGATAATCATCTATGGGATAAGCATGCATCTTTATCTGTGCAGTTCACAGCAAACCAAATTGTCTGGAATTTGTTTAGTCAGTTAAAATCTAAATACTTGGTACTTCTGTTAAAGGTTAAATCTTATGCATTATGTCTTGCTTCTCGTAGTACTATGTAGGCCATTTCTGCTTGCTTTGTCAGCATTTGAGATTTGTATTCGACTAAATATACATTTAACTTACATATTGAAAATGCTCCAGGTACACTTTCATTTTCCTCTTGGGAATTGGGAGTAATAGGGGCAACATATTAGAAATCGTCAATGGATGTGATTCTGAATAAATGCACATTGATAAATTTCATTAAGATATTCAATTTCAGCATCCTCGTTGAGAGTATCTGCCTTCTGAGTACTACTTGGGCTTTGTCTGCTTGTTCTTTGATGCTTTCGTGTTTTGAGAAAATTTTGTGAGGCCGTCTCTGAATGCTCTAAGATTTACCCCATTTCCAACCAAAATGCTTGTCACTCCAATTTTTGAGATCTGTGATTGTCACTACAAATCATGTTACATGCGTATAACAAATTGATAATCCTTCTTCCAACTAAAGAAGGGCAAGTTCACATTCACATAACTCAAATATGATCAACCATCCAATTAACGACTCAGTTGAAAATGTGCAAGTAACCGTTGGCACGAATGTTTAAGAAACTTCATTAAAATAAAAAACGACATACGCACACTTTATTACCTCTTGGATATTGTTATCATCATCATCAAAGAAGAGCATAGACTTATAGGGGACCCCAGTCTTTGATTGAATTCTCTGAAAATGATCAGTTTTGTGTGTCCAGCTGTAAAATATTTCCTGAACAATCAGAAAGAAGAATTAAATTTGGTCAACACATCAATCCGATTACAAACATTACTGTAAAAGAGAAGACTTCAGAAGTAAACAGGTATTTCATGATATCTCTCCTACCTTAAATTGGGCTACTCTAGTTTGGCACAAGTTTAACATCGCTCAGAGTTTCCAGTAGGCTTACCTTATCTTTTAAAATAGACTTGCCACTGAACAATAAACGTAAACTCAAAAAGATTACCACATACTCTGTTGTTTCCGTCATGCTTTTGAGGAAACCGGGGATCAGCATTCAGCTATTCTTTTTTAGTGTGATTTTGCTCAAGCTTTATTGCATTCGATTATGGCTTGTGACTTGGGTTGTCTTTAATTTGCTCCGCTCAAATCTAACTAACTGGCAACACTACTAACTCTTAGCTAAGAAGAAAAAACAGAAATATTTCTCTGCGCGTATCAGCTTTATGCCAAATGATTCATGCAATTTGCTTGCAGGTGTAGGAAATTATCAAAATGAAAAGAAAGATACTAGTTATGGATCCTACGTTCTGTTGGAAATTTGTTCTGCCACCTTTAAATAGCAAAACTATATTATTAAATTAAAGGTTCCAATTGTTACAACTTCATTTTTTCTTTTGAGGGAAGAATGCTAATCTACTCCATCTGTTATTTATTATAAGCAATAAAAAAACATTTTTTTAAATATAAATAGATTTTAAGTACTTTTACTTCATTTAACTATAATTTTGCTAAAATATATTTACTATAATGAATTACTTTTTAGTTGCATTATTTTTTTTTGAACATTTTGAAAAAAAAAATATGAAACTAGTAAAATTTAATGCGATTAACTAGTTTTTTAATATACTTGAAATCCTTTATTTTGTTTATAATAGAGAAGAAAAAGAATATAGCTTTTTCCAATATATATATGTATATTATTTTTTTTTCTTCTCTGATAAAAGAAATACAAGATTACTTTCAAGTATCAACTAATCACTCATAATTTCTCACTAAAAAAAGCTAATTGCTCAAAACGATACAACTTAGCCCAAAATACATAATTTTGCCCTAAAACATGTTATTCGTATTGTTTTGACCCTTGAAATATTTCGTTTGCATAAATTGATCCTAAAATTGTCAATTCATTTATCTTTCCGCACAAAATCTCCGGTCCGAAATAATTTTACTTGAACCAGCGTCAAGTATTAAATGTGATCTTATAAACTCCTTCCAACCTTTTGTTTTATTATCTTTGGGCACTAAAACTTCCGACAATTGGACCAACCCTAATGATTCAGCATACATCCTTTATTTATTTATAATGAATTAAAATTATTGATGAATTATTTTATGATATTTATTTGTTGTATTTTATAAATTATTTCTTTTTATTTTATTGATGTATAAGTTGTTTGGGTGCAACAAAATTTAAACATGTTAGTTGAATTCCAAGCAGTGATTCTCATCCTTAATTTATTTGAGTAAAGAAAGGAAAAGGAAGAGACCTCGGCGACAAACATGGACCTGATGGCGAGTTTGTCGAGGTAGGTGGTTGCGATGTCAGGAGTGGGGGACTTGGAAGCAATGGCAATATCAAGCCTCTTGTGTTTGAGTGCATGCAATATCCCTCTCGTTTGGGGAAACAAAGAAGGCGTGTCCTGCTTCGACCGCCACTCACTGAAATCATTATCATTATCATTATCCAAGTAAGTGTCTCAAATTCAAAACGATGGTGATGGTAGCATAGCATAAGATAACAGTACCAGTAGAAAGGCCAGAGAGTGTGATCGAGATCGAAAACCACGAGCCTTGGGAGCACTTGAAACACTCCCATTATCTGCACTGCCTCCGCCTTCACTCGCTCAACGTCCTCCATCTCTCGCCAATTCCATGGATCATGCATTCATGGTCCTTAAATCTTCTTCCAATCGTATTATTTTTTTATTTCACAATTCTATTTTTATGTGGTCTTTATAAAAATACAAGCTTTATATATTCTGAATTAAAAATTCCCCGACCCGATATCACTGCCTTGACCCGAATTCTCCAAAAGAGATATTTCTGTAGGAGGGTAGCACGCCTCCGGTCACGTGCGTCTGCTACCTTGTCAAGGTCACTCACTCTATTTCTTCTTCTCTGTACTCCAATTTTCCCCTTTAGTTCTTGTTACAATGTTTTACTAATCCTTTTCTCTATTTGCATTATAACATAGAATCAATCATCGTTTCTTTAGACGGATCCACTGCTTTTAAATTAAATGTAAAGGTGGATAAGCATTTTAGGGCAAGTATAATTACTTGTTTCTCTGCTTGTAATTGCTGTTTTGAATTTAGGATTTTGTAAATTCTTTGCTAGGCCATGTTTATTCCTCTCTATTTAGGTCTCTGCAGCCTGCAGGGGAGTTTCGTGTAACTATATGCATGCTTTTGCCCAACTAGCTGGAGCTGGGGGTTGTTTGTTTTTTTGTCTATTGGATTCGCTTAGGCTATGTTGGGATAAGATTTGGGAACGTGCTTTTGGAAATTCCGAGGCACGAAATGAGAGAATCAAGAATTTGTTGCTTTGGGAGTAAATGTATTTTTGAATTTGATCTCCCCAAACTGTCTTCCAAACATACACATAATTGTTGAATGCTTCTGGACTGTTTATAAACAACTTCGTACATATTGCCTCATTTATGTTGGCAGTTTTTAGAAGTTCTTATAAGTGTACTTTCAAACAAGCAACTATGCTTGTAATTGCTTTACAATTCCCATACTGCTTATGCGATAACATTTTTTTTGCTAATCTACATTATCTGTATTTGAGCTTAGAAATACGAATGCAAACGTCTCATTGTATCTGATAATATGTTTTCATAAGATAATCTAGATACAGTATCGGGCTTCAGTTTGGAACATTATATAATGAACATTGATATTGCTAACTTGAAACCTCACCACCTGTAAACACGATAACTCCTTAGTATCCTCTCGTTATACTGACAGTACTAATCTAAGACTACATGCTGATTAGAACCTCTTGAGTATTATGCTGCAAAACTCATCCAACATATTTTCGTTTCAAGTTGAGCTCATGTTGATTTGCGATTTAATGAGTGATGCATTATATTTATGTGAAACTCTAATATAACTTCTTAAGCCTTCGAACTTGAGCAGATTAGGAGCCTGAGACAACTAGAACTTCTTAATACATGGCTTGTCAAATGGGTTCTACGATCTTGAAATGGAGATTATCAATGACAGAGAATGAAAGCACCGAAAAATCATGTGTAGCCCCTGAAACTTCCAGAATACACAGTTGTTGCTGTGAGCCAAATTTTAACGGGCTAACTCTAAAAGTTGGCATTAAGTCTTCACCTTTTGCTCAGAGCTGGTAATTGGACTTGTTCTAACATTTTGTTCCTTGGTCCAAAATTATGGTTATTTTTCATTATTTTATTGACTTCATATGAAATAATATTTTGATCATGTGAGAAGAGGATGAAGGATAGACCAAGAAAAACTGAATAAAACTATTAAAAAGGATTTAGATTGAAAAGGCTTCTATGAAAAATTGGTTTTTAACAAAATACAATGACATCATTTGATTCATATAAACTGTAGCTGAGCTGACGTAGTGGGAAAAAAGCTTTGGTTATTACTTTTATATACAATTCTTAAATATTATTTGTTAGCAATTTATCTTAAAATCCCTAAAATGGATATCATGCATCCTTCCCAGTTCCCACTAGTGCAATTTCTTGTTTCTTGCCTTCCCTAATGTATATATTTTTAGCTCTCTTTCTTTCCAATAAAATACTTTTGTGTTATATAGGTTGTTAGACATAGGCATGCCTTGACAAGCCCAATTCATTGCTTTGTTAATTAACCAGACTTTTTGGGTGTTTCTTAATTTTACTATCGCGGGAATAAAATGGTTGTTTCTATATCCATGCAATATCAATTGTTTTTCATTATACCTTGGTTCAGTTTCCTGGGAAGAAGAGCTGGGTGGAAAATAGCTTTTGCCTTGAACACAGGTGGAGTGTCTGATAATGGTGACCAACAAAGCTTCAACGAAGCCAGTTCCAATCTCGGTGGTACTCGATTGGGTAGGATACTGACTGCAGGTGGCAGACAACTTCTAGAAAAGCTGAACTCTGCTAGAAAGAACTTCCCTTTGAAAATATTCCTGCTACTGTTGGGTTTCTACACGGCAAATGCACTAGCTACAATCCTTGGGCAAACCGGTGATTGGGATGTTCTGGTTGCTGGTGTTGTGGTGGCTGCAATTGAGGGGATTGGCATGCTAATATATAGAAAGCCACCTACCGCCAGGACTGGGAGTTTGCAGTCTTTTCTAGTGTTGGTGAACTACTGGAAAGCTGGCATTTGTTTGGGTCTCTTTGTAGATGCTTTCAAGTTAGGCAGCTAAGAACCCGCAAAATCTTGTCCCTAATGCTTTCTCTTTTCATTTTTATTGTTGTATGCCATAAACTCTGGTAAGCCATAATTTTGACCGTAGTTTTCTTCTATTGCTACATTATTGTTCTATACTAATCGTGTACATGTAATTGTAGTATGTGAATAGTATATATGGCGATTGCTTAATGACTTTATGTGTCTGTGCACAGTGCACCATTTTGCATGTGCTATGGTGAAGACTGTTATATACGTAGCACAGTGCACCATTTTGCATGTGCTATGGTGAAGGAGTTACTGTTGTATAGGTAGCACTCAAATTCATTTGCTTGTACATTTGTACTGGTGGCCGAGTTTCACTTTTAAGAGGAAATTAATGAATGTATTGTCACTGGCGCTGCCTGTGCTTGACGTGGAGCCTACTTAAATTATAGTAACGCACAGCTGTAAATACAAAGTAATGTAAGTAGTATTTCCCTATTTGTTATTTTTAAATATACTTCAGCAGATGCTATTGATCCATTGAAGTATTGCTGGTAAGTTGCATGCAATGTGAAGCAACAGTACGGAATTTTAGGATTCAATTCCTATCGACCTGATTGGAAACTAGAAATAATGAAGATCGAGTGATGAATTGAATTTTGAAGAAAGGTGGTTGATAACTTTGCTAATATTATAATCATCACATTATATAACTGTACAATTTTTGGTGCAAAAGTATTATGCTAATAAAGCTCTTATTATCATTTTTCAATGAATAAATAGACAAATGAATAGTCTGATTTTTTAAAAAATTAAGCTTGATGTTTAATATCTATATGGTTTAGATGTTTAAGTTTAACACTCTAATCAATGTATCCCTTGTTGTCTTGGAAGGCAAACTATTACTTCACATTAGTCACATTTTTACCTTGATCTAATCATATTTGACAATCACATCTCTTTAGCTAATATGCTGAAAAATGGATTTAATGATGGAAGGAAAATGATTACAACAATTATATTGACTAATAAACAGCTTGTCGGAATTAAAGAATGGAGTCATAAATGGGACATAAATATTCCATCTATCCAAAGGACCAAGGATGTGTTTTTTTTTCTCTTCCCATATTCAATCATCTAAAGACACAATCATATGAAATAAAAATAAATTAAAGCTTTTCTTTCAAAACTTGGGTATGTTTATATAATTTCAAGCAATCTCATTCTTCAGATGCAGCGCTTGCAGCACTCAAGTCCACAGAAAGATCAAGAACCTGAAACAAATGACAAAAAAGATCTTATGATCAAGAAAAAAAATCCAGACTTAATTACCTTTCCCCCCTTCGATATGATATCCTATTTATGCAACATTATATTTGGAGCATAAATGTTTTCGTGCATGCAGATGCGGAGTTCCAAGATCATATGGTAAATCATCCTATCAGATTCTCTAAAGATACAAAAATTCTATGTTATGCGAGGAAACCAATTAGGTCTACATTTAGCTTGGAGGACGGAACTTGGAACAACTAGAGAAATGCATATTTTTAGGTCAAATGAACAACTGCAGGTACCATTGTGTTTTGGTTGAAATTTTGCTGTTTTTGAAAATTTGTGACATCATACATAAGGAGTAAAAACAAGGAAATCAATGTTAAATTGCCAAAATGCGCTTTTGTTTAAATGAACGATATCATTTATCAAAAGAAAGTAAAATTTTGAAGTGTAGACAATTAGAGATGAATTTCATTGCCCAGTCCTTTTTCTAGTTTACAATACCAGTTCTTTCTGATTTCCCAATGTTCTCAAACTCTCTGTAATTTTTATTGTATGAGATGAAATATGTAATTTCAATTGTATATTAACTAAAATAATACGAACCTTTCCGGTGATCTTACTGTAAATCCCAACCACATCTTTTACTGTGGTTTCAAAGTGTGTGGTAGCATCATAGCTCTGCAAGGATTTCATATCAGGTTATTACAACTGATTTTTGAAAATAAAAATAACAATGAAGTGCCACTTCACAATGGTTAGGAAATAAAAAACAAATAAAGAAAAATGAAATATGCATATCATAGATTCTACTCAATACTTACTGTAGAGATGAAACAACCATCAGCTTCATGATCATTGCAGGGTTCAAACCTGTCATAAATGTCATAGAATATCTCATCTACTGGTCCAAGAAGGTCAATACCAGGCTTCAATTCCACCTCAGGTTGGTCAGTCTCTGCTTCTGTTGTAACAAAAGCAATAAATTTTCCTTTGGGTGCTACATTGTGAGCATAAGAGCAGCAGAAGAGATACCTGCAATAACAAGGAAAATGAGCAAACATAACCGAAAAAAGTTGGAAGCAAGAATATTCTCAAGTAAGAACTAATTTGAATTAACTTATCAGCACATGTAAAAGAAAATAAAATGAATCAAGGACGCAAATAAATCAAACTTTTCACATTAGTTAAAATCAACTTATACACCTCAACTATTTCAGAAGTTCTTACTACAAAATAAGCATCAAAACATGACTTTTTTGAAGAGGGAAAGACAATTTTTTGCATGACTTGTGAACCCCTCACAGGAAATGGCTGTTCCCTTGTGTATTTTGTAAAATATGAAAGCACCGTCGTAGATCAAAGCAAACTTACATATCTGACTTACGACCAAGCTGCTTTTGTGGCAGAATGACTTGTGCTGAGTGAGAGTCATTGGTGTCTGGAATTGGATGGCTCATAATACATATTGCACGTGCAACCTTTCCAACCTTCTGAACCTGTTGGAGGCATTAAATAGTGTAAGATGGAGTGCCGATCACACCTTGCTGCAGTTCATGTTTATAGACTTTAGACATTCAAGTAAACTATCATGTCCAATACCTAAATAGAACACTTGACAAAACGTATTTCACAGTCCTTGTAACCTTAGAAATCTAACCTTATCAGACAGATATGATGGATCACACACAACTTTCTTGCATTTAGCTGTTTCTCCTTCTGAAGTCACACCGATGGCTTTCCCATTTTCGTCAAATTCTACCTGTGTACCACAAGATTAAATGTGAGGATAAATATACGAGGAACTTGAGAGTACCTTTACATATATTGGTTAAGGAGCATTTAATATACAGTCTAATAAATTCTTATAATTATTTAAAAAATAAGTATAAATGATTTTTACATTACATACTTTCTACTTTTATTTCCTTAACTCATTTTAGGAGTACTTATTAGCATTTTGCTTTGTATATCGTGGATTCTTCAGGAATTGGAGCGGCACAAATTAAGAGAATGATTGAGTTATAAAAATTGAAAGAGAACAGAATAATTAATAAGGACAAATGAACTGCTTCAAAATAGTTCCAAAAAACAGTAGCAGACAAGATAAACATCAAAATTCAATTTAATTCTGTTGATACAAGATACAATTGTCCTACCACAAGTAATTGTAGTGTAATTGAATTTCCTGAACATAAAAGTATCTTCACAAACTTACCTTGCATTCTGGCTTGTTCAGCATGTAAGTTCCACCGTACACAGCACTCAGACGTGCAAATGCCTTAAGGAAATCAAAGAATAAGTTAGTTCCTGAGGTTTACTAAGTTTAAAAGGGGAAACAGATAAGGAGAACCTGAGGCAGCTCTCCGAGTCCATATAGTGGATATATGTAAGGTGAACCTCCCTGAAAGCGTGCTAGGGACTCTGCATAAATCTGTACAAAGCAAACAAAAGGTTAAACGCTAATAAAGTTTAAGAAGTGATTCTAGGTATGAAAAATATCAATGCAATAAACTATTATTTTAGATCGCCATACTTCGGTGTTATATGATAATAGTTTTTGCACTGGACAAAAGCTTATGGGATAATTTTTAAAATAGTACCTTAACTCTCTCCACAAAATCCTTGGCTGGCTTATCCAAGTAACTATCATCAAGATGAAGTGCCAAGGCATGACCAATAAAGTCAACTGTATCATCTTCCAACCCATATTTCCTACATTTGGAGAAAGCATTAAACATGTAGTATACATAGTAGATTTAATCAAAATATTAAACAGGATTAAAATCATATGCAGCTTGCTATAGGAATAAGAACAACAGTATATAGAGTGGCCAAGTACTGTAAAATCTAAGTTAGTGCCATACACTCAGAAAGAACAGACGTAAATTAAAATTTATCTTAATAATATTTCGTCTTAATTTGTCTTGTATCACTCTATTTTGGTGCTTCAGTGGTGGCAAAGTAATCTGTCAAAATGTTATAATGTGCCCAAATTCTATATCTGATTACAAAACTTCATTTTGCAAAAGCTAAATTATAATACTTTTTTTCATTTACTGTGATTTAAGTCAGATTTAAAGGGTTGCAAAATTAAGTAACGAGAGAGGAAAATAAATTAGTTAAATACATACGATATGAGCTGCCTTGCTGTAACTTCGTTCAAATCTAGTCCTTCGTGAGATTTGGGATCACTTATATCATAATCTTGAACATAAATGAAGAACTTCCGAGCACGGCGCTTCTCAAACAGTCCCATTAAAGGTGACTTCAGTGCTTCAACATCTGTTGCTGGAACTTTGTAAATCTAAAAGTAAATAAATCAAGATTTTCTACCATAAGATTTTTGTCAAAATGCAATAGCTAGGTTTTGTGAACGGTAAAGTTTGCAATATTCTGCCTACCTTTCCCTTGTTATACACAAAGCTTCCATCTACAGCTTTGAAGTTCAAATACTTTGTAACATCTGTGTGAATGAGAACACGGACCAAAGCTCCATTGGCCATCATAAACTACAAAATAGCAAATGAAAAGTTGGTTTTGTCATACAATACATAAATAGAAATGGAAACCACATAAGCAAAAAGTAGAGTCCAAGTGATGGAGAACTCAAGGTAACTTGCACTGTTTTTCCGCACTGAAGATTGTTTTGCAAATTTTTTCTATACTCAAAAGAAAACCAACATAAGAATTTGGTGCACATTGCTAGCAGTTACTAGCAAGAACCAAGAAATGTTATAGCTTTTAAGCACAGGCCTATTTTCCTACCAAAATTTAGAAGGTAAATTTTAAAAAACAAATAGAAGTAGGGAATCCACAATGTAGAGTACAACACAACATGCATAAATGTTTTTCAACTTTCAACTACAAAGTGTGACATGTACTTTTCTGGTTTTTTTTTTTTTTTTTTTTGTTGATCCACAGGTGAAGACATATGAGAGAAGTTACCTTAGGTATCATATCAACATTGAAATCTCTGCTGGATCCCAAGTTCTCTGGAGGTGCGTCTTCTCCCCTAAATCGCTTCCATAGCTAAACAGCAGAAAATGAGTTTTAGCATGAAAACAAAACTAACATGAAATGAAAATGTGATAATTCGCATGCTTCTATTGCAAATCGGCATAAGTGAGTGTGACCTGTGTAAGATTGAGAGATGTAGAAGCCCCTCCATAGTAGTCATTTCTATCCATGTGCAACACCTGATTCAAGTGGATAGTAATATAGTCAAATGGACTTGTGTTTTTTCAAAATTGAGAAATATTTAATGTTTGTATGAAATATTTATCGAATAATTATATCTTAAAATGAAGGCATAGAATTGCTCTTCACAACAACTTTTTATCATGTTCCCAGAATTTGTGACAAGTTTTCCATTGAAATATTAAATATTCACCAAAAATATGCTGCTACCACTTTGTTGTTATCTCCTAGCTGGGTCGTGCAAAATATGCTTATACATGGAAATATGTCGTACCATTTGTCAATAGCTTATGACTTAACCCAGACTAAGTCCTTTTTTCTTTGTAATATTTCTGAAGGTTTATATTTTTATTTCTCTTTCTTGTTTTTATATTTTGCTAGAACTTTGATAAAATACCCTATCTAATCTTTCAATAATTTCTATTGCAACTTTCTCTGGAAAGCACTCATTGATTGGATTAGCTTAATTTGAAAAAATATTACTTTTCTTTTATAATGGATTTTTTTAGCTTAATTGATTGAACAAAATATTTGAGTGGATATAATTTTTTTTGGTACCATCTATTTCGATGGATCAAGACAAGTACGACCATTTCTTTTAATTTTTTTCCCGAAAGAATTAAAAGAAAAGTATACTATTTTGAAAAAACTTACACTTCAAGAAATAACAATTCTTCCAATAATTTTTCCCAGTAATTGGGAAAAGATTCTTAAAATAAATGAATCCAAAGATATCGAACTTTAAAAAATAAAATAAAATAAAATCATACATGTACCACCTCTCTTTTACGATCTAACATTCAAATAAGAAGTATAAGAGAAAAATATACAACCAAATAGAAAAGGAAATACCCATCAGAATCTGCTATAATAGAATGAGTCTGTTTGAATAGTTTGTAGCATGTCTGAGTTCAAATTTTATTGTATAATTTTTTTTAGATAAGTGAGATAAATGGAATTACCTTGAGGCCATCAACTGAGAGAAGGCCACTGAGGATACATTCCTTGAGACCTGTGCCCAAGACAATTACATCGTACTCTTCATCCATAGCAGATTAATTGAGTTTCAGAGAATAAACAAATGAAAGAGAGAATGAAATGCAGACACAAAAAGAGAAAAGAAAGGGTAGTTTTGAATTTAATGAGCGATGAGATGAGAGGAACAAGGGAGGGTTGTGTTGTGTTTAAGTGTTTACGTTTGTGTATGTGTGAAAGAGATTTGAAGCAGAACACGTCTTTAGCGCTCCCTAAAATAACTCCTCTCGTAATTCATACACGTGTTTTCAGTTATGCATGGCACAGACATATTTTTACGTATTATCTATTTAATTAAAAGTCAACAATCTTGTACAAATAATAATAATAATAATCCTAAAAAAACAAAAATATTAATCATACGTTTGATTTCCGATATGTTCTACTCGAACATCTTTGTCAAAAGAAGAAAAAAGGAAAGTGTACTTTATCACTTTCTTTTTTTGTCAACTAAAAACATGTGTAAGAAAATAAATTTAAGTGTAACAGATAACATAATCATTAAAAATATGTAACATATAATTGAAGAAAAATCACAAAATTACTGTACCTTTTTTCACCTCTGAACATTCCTTGAGTCTGATTGTTTCACCATTCATTCAACGTTAAAAAGGTTTTAATGGAAGCCATTTTTTTAATATTATTTAATGTGTTGTGGATGTGTGCTGGAGTCAATCTCAATAATTAATTTTTTTTCTTCTCATATGGACTTAGGAGTGAACGAAAACTAAACAAGCACTTTGCTGTGTTGTTGCAGGGACATTAACCTATTATTTCCTTAGCTGCTACCATATTATTAAAACTTACTTTCTTACAAAATAATTATTATTAGGTTTAAAATATAATTTTCATTCCAGTAATTTACTGTTTTTCATTTTTGGTTCTGGATAACTCTTGGTATTGTTAGATCTAATCTTTTATGACATTTCAAAAATAGTTCTTACTATTAAGTCTCGTTAAAAAAATCTTATATACCAAACGAAATACATATTATATTTGTTACATTTCATTTCACCATTGTCTCGTAGGGAAATTGATTTTAAGTTTTTGTAGATAAAATTTTAAAATACACTTCATTGTACCTAAACTCTCACCCTAACCCTCATGATCGTCCTTTTCCTCTCTGATTCAAACTCAACACTACAACTCGTAATAAATCTCTTAATCCACTACCAATGTCGTTTCCTCCAATGTCAAGAATTATGTCAATTGGCTCAAAACCATCAATGTTGTCACCACCTACTGCTATCTTTGCAACAACAATGAGTAAGACATTTAATTATCAAAGAAGGGAGGTCAGTATCCAGCTATGCTACCGACAATAGCCAGGACACAATGTTTTATGGCTTGAAGAGAGGATGCACATGAAGAATATGATAACAGTCAGGGCACAATGTTTTATGGCTTGGAGAGGATGAGCATGAAGAATACGATACAGTGACAACAATGAAGTGTATTTTGAAATTTTATCTAAAAAAAATTAAAATCAATTTACCTATGTGTCAATGGTGAAGCAAAATATAACGAATATAATATGTATTTCATTTCTTACATATGATTTTTTTTAACAAAAATTAACGATAAGGACTATTTTTGAAACATTATAAAAGGTTAAGGATTAAATAATAATAATTATTATTATAAGGACTAAAAGTGAAAAGACAAGGACGAAAATTATATTTAAGCCTTATTATTATCCTCTCTAAAATTATTACCATTACCACCACCTACTACTACAATATGGTGATAATGATGATGCTAATGACACAAACAATGACAATGATCATATTGATAATGTTAGTGTTGGTGACGATGCCACTATTATTATTATTGGTGGCAGAATTTGATTAAAATTTTTGGAGGGACCAAAATAATTAATATTATATATAAATTAAATGAAAATATTTTTTATGGATACTTAAAATTTTTTTATCATACTATTCAAATATTGATTAATTTCTTAATTAACTTTATGATATTAGCTATATTTTCTACTTTATTAATAATACTCTTTATATATTTTTTAAAATTGAGAATTTATCCTCAAATTGCAAGATGCACTAAGTTTATATATATATATATATATATAAACAAATCTTTTTTTTATAATAAATAAGGAATTGATCATAGTTTTTTCAAATAATTACAACAAAATTCGCAAAAGAAAAAATAACAAGACAATAAAAAAATGGAGATTCAATCAAATGTTACTTTATGTCTATCTAATAATAATATTTTTTTCACCAAATAATAATAATAATTAAAAAATGTAAAATTATAATTTGATTTTACTAAATTTAACTAAAAAAAATAGACAATACACTCTGTCCGAGAAAAAAATAGGAAGATTTAGTGTTATGATGCAATCATCTAAGAAAAACAATATAAATACTTATTTATAGAGTTTCATGCTTATAATTAATAGTTTAATTTCCAAATATTGAAAGTATCCAATTTGGAGGATGAATAATTTCTACTATTAAAATTCACAAGTGAATCAAATTTAATTGTTATGTTCATCGTATTTATAACCCTTATGTCATGGTACATCTTAAAAGTAACACAAATAAGTTATGGACAAAACCATTACATATTTATAGTATATGTATGATATTCCTATTTTCAAATACTTGGTTACAACTACTCATCATAAATTACTCCTTAAATTTTAGATAACATGAATAACACTAATATATATTTCATGTATATATGGTAAAAGTTTGAGGGATCATGACTCCCCTTGACTTCTAAGATGATCTGCTGTTTACCATCATTATTGTTATCATAATTGTCATCTATTTGAATTTAAAATTTGATTATTCTTAATAAGATTTAATGACCTTGTTTAAATTTTTTTTGACAAGTAATTTTTATTAAGCACATGATTCTAAAATTTCATAAATAATTTAATTATTCATTTGTTTACTTTTTAATCCTTAAACTTAAAAATCATCTATTTTAATTTCTATACAAACACTTTTGATTATCTTTTTGGTGCTTATCATTAAAACAAATTAACGTTGTTAATAGTAGATGATTAACGTGCTTTGGGTAGTAGAAGGAAGTAATATTTGCTTTTATATTAATTTGACGTAAACTTATAAAAGAATGGGGGTTCATTAAAGCAAATGCAAACATGCCCTAAGGGCTAAGGCAATACCATATGCGAGTCAAAACCCACGTTACTGAAGACAGATGAAAATTCAGGTTTACCTTTTACAATTCTACTTTCTATATGGATAAAGTTTCGCTTAGATCTCTATTTTTATGAATTTCTAAAAGAGGTTTATGTGCGTTGTGAGGACGGGGAGGGGATTGTAAGGATAGTGCAATCTCCACGAGATTAATTTAATCCTAATATTAAGCAATTTCTTAAACCATTTGGCGCCATATATTTGAATTAAGACTGAAGTTACTTTTGATTTCTAATTTTTTTCAAAGAAAGCTTTGATTATAATTAATAACTAACCTGTACATTTACGTTTTTTCTTATTTTTTTTACCGGTAGGAATCAAATATGTTATTAAGAGAGTTTATTTAACCAACTGAATTAAATTCCCTTAATATTTTTTCTTGATTAATTAATTAAACCTCCTTAAAAGCATGTTTTTTTTATATAAGAATTAAGATTACATAAATTAACAATCACATTGAGTACTCAAGGGAGGATGATATATAAATCATGTACACTCTGATTAGTAGAGACGAAACCCCAAAGAAATAGAGAGGAGAGTGTGAAAATGGAATTAAAAAAAAAATCGGTAGTTTAGTTATAAAATGAGAGATTAAAAATAAGTAGGTCAGACACCATTTTTATTTCTTCATATATATGCGTAGAATAAAAGCGAAAGTTGCTTTATAGCAAGGGTGACCTCATTATTACTCTCGAGACAAGCAATTAAAATGGCCATGCAATCGATTGCAAAACAATATATTCGAATAGGTAAAAAAAAAAAAAAATTGTGAATCCCACGTATTGCTTGTAATTATTAAGGTTTGAATCTTAATCAATGATCACAAGCAATTAAAATGTCACTGCACTTGGTGAAACCAATTCAACGTATTCGATGTTCAAATAATTTGACGAGGATTTCCACTTCTCATTACCTCTTAATTGATTGTTGACTCATTCAATCAATTAAGAATATATCATGGGAACATCTTTCGTAACATGATTTAGAAGGTTAAATTAGTAAATTTATTTGTTATAACTTTTTTTTCCAATCAATTTAAACAACTTTAATATTATTTCTCTTCTATTTTTCACTTGTTTCTCTCAAGTTAAATACACTAATTTCTATTATTATTTTTTATTTATTTCCACCCACTTATTAATCTCTCATGTTTGTCTTCTTCAAACCAAACACAACAGTGGAGCTGAATACAAAAAGTCAAATGGAAAGTAAGGATGTAACCGAGCTATCACTCCATTTTAGCTACTAGTATATAAATTAAAAAAGAAACATTTACTAAGAAAAAATTACGCATTAGAATTATTTATGTTTGTATAATATTTGTTTGACAAAAAATATTAATATATATATATATATAAAATAAATTTCTATTATACCATTTAAAATAACTTCATAATGTTTTCATCAGATAAAAACAACTCAATAAAGATTAATGTAATGTTAAATTAATTGACAATGACAATCTTTAATTAGTGAGAAAGGAGGAGAGGGATGAAAGAAATAAAAGGAAGAATGAAAAACCTCTCCTCTCACTATTATTTGCCTGCATTGAAATTTTATTTCTCTCCCTTCTCCTTCCTACCATTAATTGAAATTCTTCTTTTTTTTTACAACAAAAAGAAAAACATAAAGGAAAGAATCAATTTTTTATGATGATAAATAAACTATAGATACGACCAAAGTGTCGACCCTTAATTCGGGCACATATAACACTTCCTTTGGATCAATTTACCAAAAGAACATAGAAGATGAATTCAAGTACAATTCTACAAGCAGGACCTCATCCCTTGGATTTATACTTACTTTACAAGAGTAGTTTTTAAACAGCAAACACTCTCGATTCAATTGGTTTTGAGTGACACATAAAGGAAGCGAACCTGGTCACTTCTATAGTTCTAATAATCTACATTTTGTTCATTATTCAAGTTAAGGTAACCTGCACCCAACAACACAAATAAGTAGCTTTTCAACACAACTATGAAAATCAATGACATTGTAGTCCAAACTTTCCAAGGACAACAAACAAGGATTCTAAACCTATAAAATATATATTGATTTAAAGAATAAGTTGAGTAAAATGAATTAGTTATATAAAGTCTAATTTTATATAGTCACAAGGATATATTGTAAGAGAATTATAGGAATTTTACTCATTAAAATCAATTATACAATATTGATTCTTAGTTTAAAAAAAAAAGAGTTACCGAACTTCTAAAATCAATTCCAGTAACCCTCATGTAGAATTCATTTTGGTACTTACAAGCATATACAAGAATCAATTTTAAAAATTTCAAATATATAGTTATTGAACATGATTTTGGACCTTTCATAATCTGAAGTAGACATGATAAAGTGTTCTCACTGTTGAGGTGTATTTGGGAGTTGGAAGGTCAAAAAAATAACAAGAAAATAGGTATATGAAGGACTAAGGTATATGAACTTTTTCTTTCAAGAGAGACAATCATGTTTATTAATTGATAGTTAAAGTAAACTAACCCCAACTTGAGAGATGTATCACTACCACCATCTTCAGGAAAATTAGATGAATTGCTAATAATGGATTCCGATGATTGCCTATGTACTTGGAAAATGCTTGGTACCTAAAATATACATGTACGTATTCCATTACTATGAGAATATTTCCCTGTTGAGAGATTAATTGTATATATACCAAATAAGTACGAATTTGAAAAGCTTATTACCTGTTTCAGTCTTTGGTTTTCCTCCATCAGTTCCACTCCCTGTATGGGCAACATAATCAAACATTGTTGCAAAGTGTTATAAGTTTAAAAGAATGCAGCATCAGGCACTATCTTCTTTAATTCCGTTATATTCACAAAAATAAACTCACTCATTTGGGTACTATCTCAGATAAATTATGAGAGCCACTTACAAATTGGCCTATTTTCTTTCATAACATTCCTAATGTTCAATTATCAGAACAACTTGAATCTTTTCATAAAAAAGAAAAAATCAGAAAAACTTAACTATAATATTTTATATTTAATTAGTTAATTTTGTTAGAAATGTTAATTACTCATGAATAGTAACCCAAAAAAACTTCTCATCTCAAAACCGAATAATCTATGTCTTTCACCATCCTCATTAGTCATCTAAGAGCATCATATTAGTTAATTGTCTAAGAGATCCAACTTGCAAGTTTTTGAATTTAATTAATTTATTCTGTTCGTTATCAACATTGGACATATTATATTTTCATACCAATTACCATATTACTTCATTATATTTGATATAAATTTACTTAAAAATATTTCGTTTGTTGTGTTTTTGTTTATGAATATGATGGGAATAAAGTATTGCAAAAATGTCCATTAATGAGTCACAACTCACAAAAACCCCATATAAGTAAACATAATATTACATTCAACTCAAAATCTTTAAAGCATTAGGTGTGTGACTTATTGTTAGTTATATGTTATTCAATATACCCATTTTTATCTAATGTAAACTTTAACAATCTTTCTCTAAAGTGTCGATTTCCTTCACATGGTATGTTTTGTCTAAAATGAAAGTCTTTCCATCTACATGTATTCAATAGTGATCCTATAACTTAATCATTGTTACCAATACACTCTACACATTTTCATTGTTCACAACTCATATCAGCAAGACATGATACTTGACCTTTACATGGTTGGGATTCTTGGGAAGACAATTGTTTTCATAAGATTTCCATATATGGATTTACTACCAATTTTGCTATGCCTCATTACTCATCTTTGCTCAATACAAGACTTCTTCTCATGCTTGTATTCCAATAATCACATTGTCAAACATGTCGCTTGACTTCCATATCACCAAGAGAAATTTTTGTAATCTTTTGAGTAAATACAGATACATAATATTTTCATTAACTTCTTATAAATATAAAGTGATCTTTGGGAGGATTGGTAGGATATATTTTTTTTTACTTTTTAGTACTTATTGCTCAATAACCCACCAAATAGTATGAGAAATTTGTGTAGTTAGTTCAAATCAATAGAACATGCCGCTTGACCTTCACATTAAAAGGTCCCCATACAATGAGATCTTGGGCTACAATTTTTAACCAATTACTTAGAAAGCTTGTGTGGTTCCTTGAGGATGGTTAGTGGACTAACTCCACATGTGACTTGGTAAAATATGTCAAGGTCGTGGTACACCTATACCCAATTGTACCACTTCTAACGATGGAATCAAGCTTTTCTAGTAAGTGATAAGACCCGAGAAAGCAGAGGAGGGATTGGTATCTCATTTTGTTGTGATCGAACTGGTGCTTCGGACGCGAAAATGATTAGGTTGGTTCGGTAGGGTGGAATCACTTAGACTACTCACGTTGTTAGGAAATCTCCGTAGGTAAATGTATGAGGACACATTGGTTGATTTGTTTGTATATGATGGTTATAAAGGAGTGTTCATATGCATTGTTGATGTCTTGTGTGACATGGTTTGGATGAGATACATGTTTATTTGGAGTGTTATAGCCTTCATGTATGCTTATGGTGTGACTTTGTATTATAGAATTGTTTTCTATATGTTTATGTTTTCGAACTCTAGCTTACCTTTTGTTTCCATGGTGGTTTGAACTGCGATAATCCTATGATGTATGAAAGCAGATAAGGACTAGGCTTGGGGAGCTGCTGTTGATGGGTGGCGTGATCTTTTGTTTATGTTGGTGCTACTGTGTGTATCTTGTGTAGGTGTGTTCGACCGACATTAGAACAAAGGATTAGTTGGGATTATTGTACATACATATATATAAATATAATTTATATCAGTTCAACTTTTTTACTTTCATACTTAAATTATATTTATATATGTATGACACTTTTTTCCTTTAATTTGATATGTCTAAGTAATCTAATTTTCGCTACTTGTGATAGTGATTCCATTCACTGTGGCGATCATGACAGATTGTTATACTTTTATGGTATTAGAAACGTTCAAGTCTGTTGGATACTCTATGGGGGTTATCCCATTAGGTTCTATTATGTTATCTTTGTGATATGTGGTGATGGTGTAGTGTTGCTAAATGATTTCTTGATTTCTTTATAGAATGGTTAGACCTCAATATGATCATATTGCTAGGGCCATGGAGATGATGGCAATGCAGTAGCCAAATGCTCACTTTGCTCAAATGGAGGCAAGGAAAGTTGTAGCTGAAGTAGTTAGACCTGTGATATCTTAGGAAGAGAAGGACTTGGTAGAATTCAGAAAGTGTCACCCTCCCCAATTCAAGCGAGATTTAGATCTAGATGTGACTGATCATTGACTAAGTGAGATGGAGAATATTTTTAGGGTTCTTAGGTGCACTGATGAGCAAAAGTTTGCTTACGTAATGTACATGCTAGTAGGAGAGACTGAAAACTGGTGGAGAGCATAGGTGTAGTAGTTGAATGGGAGTGCTTTAGGAGATTTTTTCTAGAAAATTACTTCTCGAATAGCGTTAGACACACTAAGGAGGTGGAGTTCAAGTGGTTGTACCAAGGGAACATGTTGATTTTTGAGTTTGCGACAAGATTTGAGCATTTGGCTCATTTCTACTCTCGGGCCATTTTTGAAGCTTGGAGATGTAGGAAATTTGAAGAGAGGTTGAGGCATGAGCTAAAAAGGGTTATTGTACCCATGTCCATTGTGCAGTTTTCGGCCTTGGTTGAGATGGCAAAGACAAATGAGAGATTGGAGGGTGATGGTCGTGACAAGCATACCAACGGTCCAAAAGGTTCATCAAAATCCATGAGGGGAGGTCAACAAAGGAGGCCTTATGATAAGCTTGCTCAACATCAAGGAGATGTTGTCACTAGGGACCTTAGTCTACTACTCCTCAGAGAGTTGCTCAAGTAGTGAGATGTTTCAAATGTGGGGGAGCTCATTTTGCTCAAGATTGTCTCACCCAAGCAATGTGTGTTACAAGTGTGGTATGTCAAGCCACATCTCTAGGTATATGTATATATGTATGATGCATTTCTTCTTTTAATCCGGTATATTTTAGTAATCTAGTTTTCACTATTAATGATAGTGATTCCATTCAATGTGACGACCATGAAGAATTATTACAAATTCAAAATTAATTTATGCACCTTAATTTTACTCATGACTAAAAAATGTCAATTTTACTCCTTCTTTTTAATAGGTCACATAAATTTAATAAAATATGGTATAATAAAGTTACAAAATATTATTAACATTCATCTTAATCCATTTTTTTTTCATAATTAAGTACAATACCTTCTTACCGAATTAGATTATTATAGAAATAAAGATTAAAGTACATTTTCATTTACAATTTTATATTTAAATTAGAAATTGAATCTTAATATTAAACACAAATATCAAATCATTTATATTAATAATAGTGGATATACTATCTAATTTTTTTTTTAAAAAAGAGTAGTTTAATATTATCAGATATAACACTTAAGAAGTGTATATCTTCACCATGATTTAATATTATAATATACCTTAAATGCAAAACTTTTTTTTTTGTTTTGACAAAACCTTAAATGCAAAACGTAAGGAGTGTCCTAAGAATATTCCTGAATAAAGAAATAAAAGTATTTTTTATTAAAAAATTTGTATTAAAAATAAAAAATACTGTATTTAATAATATGAATTTAATGTTCTAATAATAATTACATTCTTCTATTAAAAAAAACTGTGTAAAAAATTAGCCCATATAGAAGACAAGCTATAAATTAATCAATATGCCAATCAAAGATAAAATATAAATACTGTTCACTTTCTTGCCTTAAACCAAATCTACGATCTGATCACTCTCAAGTCCAATGACAAATAATGCGCCGAAAGGAATACAAGTCTCTTTCTCACAAATTTGATGAGGTATATTTTGAGATATTTTAAAAGTTTAATAAATTTATGAAATTATTTTAAATTTAAATTTAAATTAATTATTTTATTAATTATTGATATTGAAGTTTAATTAATATCTATTTTAATGAGATATAATAATCTAACGTTGTAGTTTTAATTAATTTTAATGATCAAACGTTTCAAAATTAATTGATTTTGATTATCGTAATTAATTATAGTCACAAGGTCAGTAGTCAAAGGGACTGAGCACCACTCTCTTCTTTGTTTTCTCTTTTTTGGGTATAAACTTGCTAGTTTTACAATCTCAGTTCTATTATGAGACATTTTTGTTGTATCTTGGGGTTTACTGATAAGTCATTTAAGACAGTACATTGCACGTCTCAAAAATTCATATCAATTCGTGTTCTCAGCATTCATAGACAACAATTTAAAGAACTTATAGTTGTCTATGGAAATTCTTGATGAATGTGAGAGATGAGCACGAGATTACGATGATGAAGAGAATCTGACGTACACACTGCTATGACAGTCACATGTGAAGGAAAACAAGGTGTCACTTAATCAGTCTGACATGATTCTACCATTGGTGAGTCTCCTAGAAAGCGATGAGTTTAGTAGGAAGGGATTCATATCAATAACGGTAAGCATAGTTAATTTGCCAACCAATTTTGTAAGAATTTGTTTAAATTTTCTTGATCAGCATGTGTTTAATATTTTATATGTAGATATTGCATAACATATTGTTATATATTGAATTATTATATTCAATTATGATATGTTAATTAGAAATTAAATTACTTTGGGTTGTAATTGCTAATTAAATGTTTGGTACATGTTATGTGATTTACAATCATGATTAACATATTATGTTGAGATTTTATATATTTAATTATTTGTATTAAAAGTATTTAAGGAGAATTAAATATTTATTTATTTGCATGAAAATCTGTGGTGATGAGGTGAAAACAATAATTATGACACATCATTTAGAGAAGAATGGTGTATACAATTAATATTATTTTTGAAAATATCTTCGTAGTAAGAATTTTTATGAGATGAAACTCACCTTGAACAACATAGATAAATAATTATGTTAATCTTAGTGTGAATGATTTTATGTGATGATGAGTAATTTTTTCTCTAATTTTGGAGATATTATTATGTGTTGATATTTTTGTGGTATTTGATGTGAGTTTTTGAATTTAACTCTTAAAAATTATAATCATTTATGACACGAGTTAGTGCAGCAGAATTATGAATAATATGATGAGAGTAATATGATGTTATCAATATTACAATATTTTACATAACATGATATGTATAGAGATGCCATAAATTAATAGTATTTAATATTTTGGATTTTCCATTGTATTAGAAAATACAATGATGACTAATTAAGTCTTCGACCCATTTGAGAAAAAATCTACTAATGTGTCATTATACTTTGTTGTAATAAAATTAATTTGAAATCAATCAATAATAATTATTGAATTGGGGGTTTGTTACTTTAGAGATGATTGATTATAAGACTTGGGGTTGAGAACCTCTCTTAACAAATATTCTATTGAGAATATAAAATTAAGAAATGATGTGATATAGCAATTGCTTAAAGGATTGAAAATGATTGTGTAGTTAATGATGGATTTGGCCCGTCCTTTGACTTTAAACCCTTAGGGAATATATTCAACATTGAGGAGAATGAGATTTTATTAAAGTCACTTGATACAAATAGTGATGATAACCCAAATTTTGTGATTGGAAATCCCATGAAGAAGGTTCAATGGGAAAAACAAGTATGGGCACATGCATGGCCTGAAAGCACAACCCAGTGATAACGACAAGAATTGTGGGGGTGTGTATTGTGGTTGGTTCACCTATGATACACACCAAGCGTTTTGAGTTTAATGATTTGCTACACTCACTACACTGTGTATTAAATTTTATCAACTCTGATTCAATAACTTGCTACACCAAGTCCAACGCATCACATCCTATATGAGAATCCAAAATGTTTTTTAAAACCTTTTGAAATATGTGGGAGATTGTTTTATATTATTAATTACTAGTATTAAAGCCTAATTAATATTAGTTTTAATAAGATATAATAATCTAACTGTTGTAGTTTTAATTAATTTTAATTATCATGATTAATTATAATCACAATAGTCAGCATTTTCCTCTTATAAATATTGAGATTTAGTAGGAGTTAAAGGGACAGAGCACTATTCTCTTCTTTGTTCTCTATTTTCTGGATAATAAACTTGCTAGTTCTGCAACCTCAATTCTATTCTAAGATGTTCATGTTGTATTCTAGGGGACTAGCATAGGAGTCTACGGATAAGTTCTGAAGGATAGTGCATTGCACACCTCAGTAGTTCAAATCAATTCATGTTTTTAATATCCATGGACAACATTTGACAGTTACAATTTTTTCTTATATAAATCAACCGAATTAGGTTTAAGGCTAGACCATAGCATATATACTGTATACCTTAATCCAACAACAAGTCGTATACAAACTGACACATAGAAGGGGAACAAAAACAATCAAAAGTTGGTATACAACAAAGACAAAAGCCAAGGTGGATTAAGAGTTTAGCTCAATTTTATAAAGTGAGGATTATTCTTTACTTATATATACTATTAATGATCTTATTTTTAGTTGATATGAGATCTCTAACACCCTTCATGTCGAGTCCCAGACATCTCAAACGTGAGATTAACAAGACTGGATATCTGTGAGTGGTCTAATAACGACCTGATAGTGAGTGATCTAATAAGTTCACCAATAATTGTTAAAAAAAGCTCTGATATCATCTTGTGAAAGTGAGTTAATAGTCTAACTTAACCCTACAAAACCTATTTATAACCATTTTAAGAAAGTAGGTTAGAGTTTAAGTCAATATTATAAAATCGACTTATGAGATAAATATTACTCTCCATTGATATATATATATTATTACGATCTCTCTAGTTGATGTAAGATCTCCCACATACAAAATACAGTGTTGTCCTTAATTTGATTTCAATAGTAGTTGATTTCGGGTATATGTTAAGCAAATTTTTAGAATAAATTTCTAGGATGATTTATAGGGATCTTTTTCTATCACTCATGTATGTATTTGTTATTTTGCAAACAAATCAAAGAAGAAAAAAAAGATTGTTCTTTTCAAGAAATAAATTTCTTTATAGTCTAAAGGAGTTTGTTGTTTGATCATCTAACTGCATGCCATTACCACAATCATATGATTACGCTTATTAATTTAATACTGTAGACATAATGTCAAAGAGAAATAGTATATATTCCATCAAACTCATTTTAACTTTCTTCGATTGATGGATTCTATATATTAACTATTAAATCTCTTTTACAGGTTTAGTTCAAAGCAAAATTAGAGTTGAAGTGTATAGCTATCAGACTAGTATGTTAGTCCTTTATGGTGTATATCGCTAATATGACAAGGGTGAAATTGATGTAGTTAGGTGGCATTAAACTATATGGGAGTATATGCTATTATTATGTTATGTGCTGTCATGTTTTTATTATGATATAATTAGGGCAAGATTTCACTACATCTGTATCCATTTTACTAGCATGTCTAATGCTAAGGTTTTTTTTTTTTTTTTTTTTTTTTTTTTTTTTTTTTTTTTTTTTAAGTTGACAACATAAATATTTATGATTAGATGACACTAAAAAAACACTTTTAATTGTATATATTATTTAGAATTGACAATTTTTTTTTTTACATATTATTTTTTTTATTTTTGTTGTATTATTCTAATTCCTACAAGCGACCACTATTAATTTTCTAGGTTTTTTTTTTTTTTTTTTTTTTTTTTTTTTTTTTAATTTTATTTATAATAATAATTATTATTAGTATACCTAATGCTGAGTTGAATATTAATAAGAAAAAAATCATTAATGAAAGGAAAGTGTTTAATCATTCACAGTTTCACACAAAACCTATATTTATTTTATACTAATTAATATTTAAGGCGAAGTACCGCAACCGTGGTTACAGTAGAATCATTAAAATCAGTCTACAACTGAAGATTGAGACAATATACATAATTTTAGTTTCAAATTTTGTTATTATCATTGTAATTCTTATTGATAAAAAAAATTAAGAATAATTTCTTCAAGGTATCATCAATTAATGAATAAAATTCATTATATATATATATATAACAATAATAACGGTAGAGTAAGATTTGAAAGGCATTACAGATTTTGTTGATTTTACCTTTCTCTTAAGGGTGAAGATCTCTTCCATAACTTTTTCATCCTAAAACACATGTGCTACACATCAGAAGAATATATATGTATTATGTATACGTTACCCAACAACCATAACTGATATATCATTGATCAAAAGGAGAATGTTGCAACATTGCATGCATGCATAAGTTCTACTTCTAGATTTAATCCCTTGTGAGAAATGAACTACTACACAATAGTAATATATTTTCATTTTGCCCATTAATTAAAAAAAAAGGCAAAAGGAAATGAACTACTACACTGTGAGCATCATTGGTCATAAGACACAAACCTTTAGTTTTGAAACATTGGTCAAACCTCTTTTAAGTAGCTCCTCTAGTTTCTGCAGCTCTTGTAATGTCAACCCTTGCAGATCTTCCCCATACAACTGCCTGTGTTAAATATGGAAAACCACGTCTCAGTGATAAAACTTTAGTGTATGAAACGTATGAACATAATGTACTAGCTCTGTGCAGTGCATATATACTTCAGTTCACGACTTTTATCTTCTACTTTCTTGCGCAGGATGTCGTTGGAGTCAGTCTCAATCTGTGCATAAATTTCAAAATAATCATTAAATTTTATGAGTTTCCACAATGTCGCAGACAGTTAACATATAATTTATTTTTGTAGTTTTCCATTTTTTAATTGCAGTCACGAGATAAATAGGTCAATTTGTGCACACCTCAACTAATCCACCTCCAAATCAGAAAAGTAACACCATTCACGCCACAACTAGAAAATTCACAAATATATTTCTCCACCACGTATAAGACAAAGTGTTAACACAGTATGAAAACTTTTATTAGCAGTACTTCCAACTAGAACTGCTTATAAAGGTTATGTTTTAAAAAACATTCTCAAGTTCATTCTCAAGCTTGTCAACACTTTCATACTCCTTCATGCTCACGCTCTCCCTTGCAATAAGATTGTAGTTGTAATCACATATAAATTATACCTTTAACCCTTCTATTTTTGTCTATATGTAATTTTTATTTTTTATTTTAAAATAGATATATTTAGTCCTTTATTTTTAAAAATAAAATTTTTTTATCCTATTATTAATTTAATGCTCGTTAATTGTTAAAATTTGATGTTGTTCAATCATCTATCACTATTTAAGCAACATAATATTTAATCACATCACATGTAATAATAAAAATTAAAAAAAAATACAAAAGTTTTTGTGTTTGTCTCTATTTTAAAGACAAATTGATATGTTTTATTTATAAATTCTTTTTACATGATTTTTTGTAGTTTTTTTTAATCTCCAAATGTCATGCTAATACGTGTCACATTATTTAAGGATGAGTAATTGGTGTAGAAAAAAAGAAGTATATGTTAAAATTTCATAATTAATAGATGATAATTTAACAGAGGACTAAAATTTCATATTAGTAAAATTAGATGGACTAAATATCTTAATTTTATAATAAAAAAACCAAAATTGCATATCGATGAAAATGGAAGAAAGAAAATGCAATTTAGTCAACATTTTTGTTGTTCAAAACACAATGATGTCGTGTTGAAGTTTGTTTTTGGATTGTGAAACTGTGAGAGATAAATAAGAACATGCATGCATGTTATTCTTTTTAACCCACTTGATTTAAAGATAATAGAGTATTTTGCTTAAATCACTATGGTAAATTAGTAGATTAATATCCCTATTGTATGTAAAAATTAGTCATGGGTGAAAAATTATTTTGGACTTAGTGTGATTGTAGTTTAAAAGTTTCCCAGAGTACTAGACTTTTTAAAGAAATGGAATCTTGAGTTCCCTTGCCTTCTAGTTGGTGAAATAGAATTTTGGTAGGTTTATGACAATATATATTTTGGGGAATTATTTGATAAAAATTACAGTGAAACATTTCATTTGTAAGAAACTATATTTTATTTGATTTTAGTGATTAACTTAGTTTATTTATTTTCTTAATTTCTTTTTAGCATCTACTTTAACTTACTTTATTTTTAGCATCTATTTTTGAAGTAAGTCATTTAATTACACTACAAGAATGTTCCGATTTAGAGTTGGCCAAAAACCGACTCTAAATCATAAAAATCGACGTAATATTGTCGGTTATTCATCAGTTTTTGGTTGACGCTAAATAAGTCGACACAAAAAAATTATGTCGACTAAGTCGTCACTAACATATTTATTTATTTTAATTTTTTATTGTCGATTAAGCCGACACTATGTTGACACAAAATTTATTTTATTTTATTCTTTATATTCTTTTTCTAGCTTATCATTTATTCGTTCGTATTTTTAATATTCTCGGAACTCGATCCGTGAACCGTCTTAAGTGAACTTGATAACCAAGTGTACCAGAACACATTATGCATATATAACATTGAAAAAATTATCTTTATCTCTCTCAAAGCACGTATAGTGTCGGAAAAATTGACCCTATTATTTAAATATAATGTCGGCTTTTCCGCACTAAACTTAATTTAAATTTAGTGTCGAAAAAGCCGATGCTACATCTTAAAATAGCGTCAGCTTTTCCGATACTATTTGCGTTAGCTATTAATCAACGCTTATTTTTCGCCGTTTATTCACCATTTTCTTGTAGTGTTATTTTGTTTTTATTTTTTTTTTTGTATATAAAACGTTTTGTTTTGTTGCCATTAGATTGCCAAGATACTTTGTGTACCTTTAATTGTGAGGTATTTTTCTTTTATATTATGCTTTAATGATAGCAAGTTGTGCAAGATACTTCCCCTTGCAAAACATAGAGCAAAAGGAGATATTATGATTGAACCAAAAGGACATTAGCTATAATAACCCCTAATGGATTGGAGAACATTTATAGATAAATGCGTGAATGAGAAAACTCAAGGTAAATTGCAGTATTGGTATATAACATGAAATTATCTTTATATTTGATTTTTTTATTTAATTAGTATGTATTCATTACATAATTATGGATTTAAATAGAAATTGAGCAACGAAAATGAGTGTATTAGTCCTTTGGATTCATAAAAAATTGCAGCGAGCATATATGGGTTTTAATTTCTTACTCGGTGTATTAGTCCTTTGGATTGTATACTCCCTTAATCTATTTTTACTTAACAAAAAAACAATAATAATGGTCTGATTTGTTCCTTTAAAAGTTTACAGGTGAACACACCAGTCCTAAGAAATGTAAAAAAGAAAAAAAAAATAAAAGTATAGTGTCTCAAATTCACAAATGCAGGTTTTGTCAAATTTAGAAACTAGTGTCCCTTTGAAAAAAAAAAAAAAAAAGATTTACATTTTTTTATATTTTAGACTCCAATGTAGACTTTTTATATTATCAAGGACTGGAGACTGATATGTCTTATATTAGACTTATCTTTCTTTGTGTGTAAAATAGGGAAACGAAAGTTTGAACCTAGGACTTCATTTAAATTATTTAAACTCTTCGTTTATGTTAAATTTATTTGGAATGAGATTGTGTAACTTTTTTTAAAGGCAAAAATATTATTGCACCCGAAGCACAGACCAAAAGTACAATGACCAAAACGTGTTGACAATGTTACAATCCAAGATGATAATAAGAGCAAAACAGACATCCTACAATATTACAACCACAAGCCACGAACACAAAGTTTGTAGGATGCAGCCCCAACATAATAATAATTGGATAATGACAACTAAGATAAAAGAAAGCAGCTGATAATTGTATAATTACTTCAAAGAAAATTCCAAATTTATAATCACCATTTACCTTACCTATACATGTGTTATTTATTTACAGCTAAAATCCTAAACCAACCACACTAGTATACATATAGGGAATGCTATAGAAACATGCAATATCTTTCACTCAATACATATATATACTACTGCAACTGCAATTAATGATGAGAAATTGATAAAACAAAATGATGAGACTGTGATGTGAAATCAATGCAAACATGCCAGAACTGTTTAATTGATGACCCCTAGAGACCAATCACTACTCATCAAATTCTCCAGAGAAAAGGGGAAAAAATTGTTTTTCCAAATGCCAGGATATCATCATTTAATAACAAGTTGATGTTACTAATTATGCTAACCTGCATCTCAATAGAGGGGCGATCCAATCTATGCATTGCCGAATGGCGATCGCGCCTTTCAATTACTTGTTGCATACTGAAAACAACAAACACATTAAGAACAGATTTCAGTTATTCAATTTCTCTTCTGCTTTCCTTTGAATTAGTGATGCTCATAAAATTAAGAACTTCGTATCATTGTATAGCTCATGTTTAGGTGATCCAGAAGATTGATGTCAATAAGAACTTCACTTATTGCCTACAAAACCATCATTGTCCCTTGTTGTAAAACCAGTCAATTAAATTTGATTTTTCTTAATTGAAGATGAATACATAAATTCATTAAGTATTCATTTTATGTCATACTATGTTTCTACTTCCGTTAAAATGATAAATAAATAAATAATTCCTAATCAGTTGAAGGGAGTGGAATGTGTTGAAAAGGGAATTAATCGTCATATGTCATTGATATTAGACATAAAGAAATATAGCAATGAATATTCTATTCTATTTCTATCAAAGGTCACTCTATCCAACCAAACATCCATGTGTCCTTACTGTTAGAAGACTTATATTAAGCCTTGCTTATGTGTTTCCTGTAGATGAAGATCAACTAAATAATCAGTGGCGGATGTAACACCTAGGTGGGAAATTTTTTTAAACAAATAAAAATCAATAATTATTATCATACATATAAAGAACAAAACATAAATGTCAGAAAATAATTATAAGAGAGTTCAATATATAAAATTCGGGAGTGTAAAATATAATATTTATAAACATACATTAATAATTTAATTAAAATGAGAGAATATATTTATCTAGTCTCACTATAATGTCGGTATACTATTATTTAGAATAACTGAAATGCTATAAAATGGAAGTGATTCTTAAGTATTAATGTCAAGTATTATGTGTAAAGGCAATAAGTGTGATAGAATTTAGAAAATATCATGCATGGTGCAAGTAACACATCAAAATTTCTTATTATCTACAATTATTTAATGATAGTCACTTAAAAATGTATTTATTAGATTTGATGAATGTAGTCGATCTTATGCAGATATGGATTTCTCTCTTTACTCTCTATATATGTTCCAGCATATATCAACTAGTTCGGGTCACTATTGTCATCAGGAGAGATGATCATGAAATCAAAATACATTTTAAACATTACTAATAAGGTTACTCTAAACTTTGGTCATATTCATAGAAAGCTAATTTATAAACGTGCATTTTGCTTTTAAGTAAAAATGTTGAGAAATGCAAACAAAAACCGTACGCAATGGATTGTTGCGACGTTCTTCTGCAGACTGGAGTTCCAACTTTTGCAGCATAATATTTCTTGTAGGAGTTTACTCGTACATACACACCTATTGCTACTAATTAACTAGTTTAAGAGAACTAAAAGTAGAACAAATATTTACGAGATTATGGAGAATCCATTTTGACAAAATTTAACTTATAATGATAATGTTGTAAAAGAGTGAGAAAACTGTTTGGTAACAACACCAACAGTTAAAACATAATTAAAAGAAATGGAAATATAAAAAAGCATAAATAGTTCATGAGCCCAGAATCCGTGACTATCTCCTGATCTCCTCATTCAGTCAGACATTATTATATTTTATATATTGTATAAAACATGATATAATTTTTAATAAATTCATATCTTATTTTAAATTTTAATTTTTATCTTATTTAAAATTATCTTTATTTTTATTTTGTATAAAGAAATACATAAAAAAAAGTTACATGTTAAACTATATATTAATACAAATTAAAAATAAAAATAATATGTACATATATAATATGCTTGTAATTGATATTACAAAATAAAATATGTAATATCCACCGGTTTATTGGTTGGACCGAAAAATTGACCTGTTCAATCCGGTTTGAAACGGGTCAAATGCATAACCGATCTAATTTAAAGTTTGGACCGGTTAGACCACCGGTTCCCGGTTCAACCGGTCTGACCGGCCGGTTCGATCCGGTTTTTAAAACACTGCTTGCAACAACTAGTTCCAAATCAAGTTCCTTCCACAAAGGGAGAAAAAATGAAAAGGAAAAAAAAGGAGGTTAGTGATGGTAGAATACCTAGAACTTGCATACTCAAAGAGCTTGCTAGTTGCAGAAAACACTATGAGAGCTATGTCTGCATCACAAAGGGTTGATAGCTCCTGAGCTTTCTTGAAAAGCCCTTTCCTTCGCTTGGAGAAAGTAACCTGCCTCGAACTTATGTTGTCTATTTTCTTGATCTGTATCCTCTTTCTAGTCATTTCCCTATGTCAAAAATCATCCAAAACATTACATCCACAAGAACAAAGAGAGACATTTCTCCATATTACATAAAGTAAATCCAACAGATTCAACATAAAATAGAGAAAACATCACTATTCTTAAGAACGTCCAGTCTAGAAAACAATGGATCAAGATAAAATAATCTTGTACGGATAGGAAGCTCAAGGAGGATGGGAAGGAACTAACAAACAAATTATTAAGAGCACCCCACCTTGTAAAACGAAATGAGATGAAATATAACCAATTAAAAATTTAAATTAGTACGAACAAACATAAACTGCAGCTACCCAGGAATTAAATTAGTTTTGGTGAAAAGAAAAAAATGTTTTTTTATTTATTTTTGATATAGATATATGTAGAGAGAGAGAGAGAGAATAATATATAATGGATAAAGAAAGAAACCAGTTTCTTGAAATAGCAAAAGAAATAGGAATCGTTGAGGAAGAATCTGAGAGGAAGGAGTGGTTGGATTGGGTAGCAGAAAATGGAAAAGTTGAAGATAAAGCGGAACTTACAATAATAATAAGGCTTCCTGAAATGGGTGTTAGGAATGCAGAAGACGAAAGTCCCAAACACCGTGTAATTGGCAGTTTCTTATATCATGGGATACAATTTAATGTGGGTGTGGGGTTATACGCTTATGCCTTTCTTTTTTGCTGCTGCTGTACCACAACTATTAAATCTTTCTTTTCTTCATTTTATAATATTTTTTATTAATAACAAAATGTAATAAATATTTTTTAAACGTACAAAATTCTTTCTTATGTTTCTATATAAATACAATTAGGGCAAGGATCAAACTCTAATAATTAAATTTTTTTATTATCATTTGGAAATATGTTTCTTGTCACGTCAATATGCTTTTTTTTTTCTTCCTATTTGTAAAAATTGATGTCGATGCTAACAAGTAAAAATAACTCGCATCACACGCATACATTATTCCATCAGCAGAGGAGTTAAACTCTTTCGTTCACATCCTATATAATATGCTATTCTTAGAAAAATTAAAGTGTTTTTCATTTATAAAAGAAATTAAAGTATTTGAAATATTTGATTGGGAAAAGGGAAAATTATAGTATTATTTTGGGAAAGTATAATTAATTTAGTTATTCTGTTTTTGGTTTGGCATGCCACTTGGCTCGTTGATTGGTCTCTGTACGAGGCCACGATAATGACAATTGATGTACCCTCGTACTCCCTTTCACACTCATCGTCCCCATGTGCAGACTTATTTATAATTCGTACCAGACCTACAGACCAATACCTACACTTTTTTCCTTTTATAATAATAAAGTTTAAATATATTTTTACTTCTTTAAATTTAAGATAAATTTATTTTTTAATTTTTTAAATTAAAAATAATTATTTTTAATCTTTAAAATTTTAAAAAATATTATTTTAATTTCTTAAATTATTAATAACATATCTAAAAGTGATAAATTAAGATAATTAAATAATATCAATTAAATTTAATATGATATCTTTTCTAATAAGAACACTAATATTAGATTTTATATAATAATATTTGATAAATTTTTTAACAAAATTTGAATATAAGAACTAAAATAATATTTTTTGAAATTATAGGAACTAAAAAGAACAATTTTAAATTTGAGGGATCAAAAATAAATTTATCCTAAATTTAAAAGACTAAAAATATATTTAAGCCTAACAATTTCTAAAAACTATTTTTCTTTTAAATATCAGTAATACTCTTGTTTTTTAAAACCAAATTTCTTTGTTGTAAGTCTTCTTCCTAGAATATCAGAGTTTACATTGTATTATCAAATTTAATTTTTATTTGTATTAAAATATTATTTAATTAACCAAAATTATGCTTTGTGATTACAGATTAATTTATAAGTTTCAATTTTAAATATCCATAAGTTTCAAATTTTTAATTCATAAAAATAATTTATTTTTAAAAAAATCACTTTAGTTAGTTTCTCAAACAACTAGTTTTTTCACAAACTTTTTTCTGTAAAATGTTGAGATATATAAGAAGGTATAAACGTTTATAAAAAAAAAATAATAATAGACACAAAAGAAGGGTACTTTCTTTATACATTCTTATAGATTTAGGAAATTTATCTAAATTTTTGTAATTTTTAATAAATACGATGATGTATGTTAGAATATGATAGAGAGTGTTACTCACACTCTTTATAATTTTTATATTAGTAATTGACAAAAAAAAAATATTATTGATATAAATTTAATGTAATTATTATGAAATTTAGTAGAAATAGAATGGGAGAAATTATCATTATGAAGAAAAAAAATGATGCAGGAGATTTATGATTTATTAATGGTGCACTTTTTTCTTCTTTGTTTTTTTATCTATTTGTCCCTATTAATTTTCTTCACATTCGAAAATATAAATTTTTTTTAATGTGAGATTGATACACACAAAAATGTCTTGATGTTGTTGTCAACTAATGCTTCTAGCTACCATTTTCTTTCACGGTTTTTTTTCTTTCAAAGGGTGGGATAGCTGGTTCCAAGATTTAACGCAGCAGCATATACAAGGCAGGATTCGAACCCCTAACCTTACTTAAGGGTAGATCAACCCCTACTGCTGAA